AAAAGGGGGGCCAAAAAAAAAAAGACACAAAAAAAAAAAAAAAAAAAAAAAAAAAAGTTTGGCTTCTTTGTGATCGACATATTGAATGGAAATAAAATACGCAACGGAAGCAAATATGCACGACTAGAGGCTGCGATCCAAATGTCAGACACTGTTTGCGTCCCAAGTGAAAAATAAAGGCCACGCTGTTTTAAATGGGACGCATTCTGCCAAAGGCACGGTGAGCAGGCTGAGGCGGGCAGAAAGCGCTCCGGTTTCCTTGCCGTTGCAGCTTGGAAGTGCTACCTGTGCAGGAAGTTGTATTTGTGAAGGTGAGTGAGCCCAGCGGCGATTTCGCAGGCCATCCTTTGCAGCTGCAGTATCTCGGTGCTTCTGAACGTCCAGTCCTGCAGAGACAGATAGCCTCGCAAATCCCCCTGCAAAAACACACACATGCACAGTCAACATATAAACCCTTCCTAAAATGGAAGAATGTGTTTTTTTTTGGCTTTTTTAACAAAACAAAAAAAAAGTGTTTCTGAAGAAAACTGAAAATTTATAGGCCAAAATATTAGAAATGATGATGACAGATGACTCCACCATTTGCCATTTGGGACTTTGTTAAAGAAACAACCAATCAAAAACAACACATGTTTTTCTTGTTTGCTTATTCTCGAAATAAGAAGATAAATAAATCCAAGTCCAATGAACGAATATATTTCCTTTTTACCCCCCACAAATGCTCCCCCACCCCAAGCCTCACACAGGGACATTGCAAGCACGTAAACATTTAGAAAACAAATCGCCGTGAATATCCATTCATACATACATGTAACTGATATTACTGAAAAGATTGCAAATGGACTGCATGCTTTGCATGCCTCTTATGTTATTTTTAACATTCTGTTTTTCAGCAAAGTAGTCCAATTACTTATGTCACTATCACTCTGTCATTTTTAAAGAATGTACTAAATCTCTTCCTGAAAAAAAAAAATCCAAACACTCTCAATCATATTTTTTTACGCTTGACCATATTTCTTATACAACATTTGTGCATTACATTTGTTTTCTAAATCTTTGTGGAATGGAAAGATTTTTTTTTAATTGCCACGGTGACATGGAAAAAAAAAGTTGGGTAATTTGAAATAAGTCAATTTAAATACTGGCTGCAGGCATACATTTTTCCAATGTTATTTTTCTACACCAAAGGCGTTCAGAAAAAAAAATATCACAATGCCATGTTGTGAATATGGAGTCAAATATACATCTGTTCACACGTGTTAAGCTTACCTATATTGCAACCAAACTAAATTCAACTCTAGGAAGAATTTCAGGAGCACGTCCACATACAGTGTGCAGAGGCTGCCACACGGGGGCGGTAAATTAACCAGTTGCTGTCTCACTTCTCCTGTGAGTGAACTGAACGGTAACTATTTAGTGAGGGTGCGCAGGTTTTAAAGGCTCAACTTGAAGAAAGAAGAGAAGGAACCCTCAGCTGACACAACAAATAGACATGAGTTTGTCTTATGTTGCATTTGTCTTGTGTTGCTCACCAGATGGCCTCCTGCGGGAGTTTTTCCAAAAGTTGAACCGAGGCACTCCGTGTACTGTACCTTCATCGAGATCAAAAGATTACACGGGGGTTTTGGGGGTTGGACTGCTTCCTGGGTCACTTAATGTGCACTGACAGCCCTACAAAACCACGGCAGCTTGCGAGAATCAGTGACACCTGCGGCGATCATTCGCCGAGTCGAAATAATCGTTTTCACTTTGTATGACTTTTAAACGCTTCAAATATATTGCAGTGCACTTCCAACAATGTGCTACGATTTGACAGCGGGATTGTGTGCCGTGAAGGAGATTAGTGAGCGGTCCAAAGCTCCATGCGGAATGAATTAAGAACATACCGAGAACACAGTGTTCATGCAGTAGTCATGAGGTACTTTTGTCTAATCGCGTCCCGTTGGCGAGCTTGCAACTCTGGGTCGGGGCATGCGCGCGTTTAAGGGGGGGCAGGGGGGGGACGGGTAAATGAGATCAGTCAGTGGATCACAGCACGGTCCCGGATACTCGGCACGTATGTGAACATGTCCTGGCGCACACTGAGGGATGAAAAGTGCTCCGGCACTCGGATCTCGCAAGCTGGGTTTTTCCAACGTGTGTGTACATTCCACAGAGATGCACACCGTCAAATGTGTCTCATGCATCAAAGAGTCGTCATCTTGTTTTCCCCTGTTAACTCACGGCCACACTGCCGCCTGCAACACCCCTATTCAAATTCCTACTTTTGTGATGTAAACAAAAAAATTAAATAAAATTGAAAGCAGGAACGATCTTTCCAAAACTTTTTCCATTGTTTAACATTTGCTCATCTCAGTTTAGAAATGCTCTCTGCAATTAAATTGTAAACTGTAAAATGGGAATCTGCACACGCCTGCCACCATTTTCAAGTGCATCTGATTAATCTCAAATCAAGTTCTGGGGTTCGAGTAGGCTGTCCCTAACATTTCTGTAGTCACATCCAACACAATCTCCCACCCACCCTTAAAAAATTATTTCTCAATTTAGTGTTACAGGTCACATTGGAAGTGGGAAAAAATGTTTTCAAATGATTTATTTTGGTCTAATTTTTTTCCATCATAAAAACTTGGCATTTCGACAGGGTTGTGTAAACTTTATATACCCACTGTACATTAGTACCAATGGCGGGCTGTTAGTAAACACAAATGATAAATGTGTTTTTCCGATTTGCTTTACTGTTTGTTGTATATGTTGAATTGCTCCATGTACAGCACTTTGTATGCAGCGATGGCTGTTTGAAAGTGCTCTATAAATACAGTTGAGTTGAGTTGAGTGTTCACATCTCTAACCAGGTAGTGAGAAGCGATCACAGGGGGCCACTTTTGACAGTCGTCTTCCATAAATTGCGATTTGTTAGTCACTTTCACACCACACAACGCACACAGTCAAGCGATAGTGGATGAATGGTAATTGATATGCTCCGCCAATATATATTTATGATGCGCCCGCAGCAGCTGATTAAGAGCGTGAGAGAAGAGCTTGGGGTTGAAATGACATTGCGGGTGACCACAACAATTAGGCTGCGTCTATTCTTAACCATGACTGAGGAACCAGCGGTTGTTGACAGTAAGCTTCCTCTCATATCCATTTCAAAATAAATATGCGCTCAGCAAAATAACGGGGCTTCTTCCGCTAAGGCTCTTAAAATATCACTGTCACATTTTCCCGGCCTATCTTCATTAATTACATGAGCTCTCAATTCTGACACTTAGTTTGAATTCATGGTGGGATATTAAAAACGATTTGCAAAAATCTATGAGCTTGCTGACAGGGCGGCCAAATTTGGCTAATGTTAGCTCTTCAACTTAGGGGCAATTAAGCCAGCCTGTGAATTTGGAGAGCAGCGGTTCTCCAGCGCAACTGCGACAAGCGGTTAAGCTAGAGGGCCTCGTTGTCGGAGAAAGACAGGAACACAAGGAGGGGCCAGATTTTTTTTTCTCCCCAGTCGGCATGTGGATAGGGGGCTTTGTGCTGCATTAGAGCGCCTCATTGTCACGGTATAGAAAAACCTCACGATGATGGTGTGATATATTCCAACCGCCAGAGGCTTGAAGCAGTGCGTCCATGGTCACGGGCCAAATAGTGGCATTTGATTGACATTTGAGCATGCCGTGGTTCCAGCACATTCAGCGGACACGCTCACAACATCTGAGAGCAGAGAGAACGACTTGACTTTTCCACCATTGTCAAGTTGAGTTTTACATACTTTTCTTTCGTCATTTAAATTTGGCAGCATTGTTAATAACACTTCGAGGTCTTGTGTAAAATTTAAGAGACATAACTATTTGTTTTCACACTGAAGGGAGTTTGAAGAGGGGGTAGTTTCAAATGTTCTGACTAGGCCAACTAAAATGAAGCATTATTACCTTTTCAATGGCAGAATTTCTAATGCAGCTCTTGTTTCGGATCATATCACACGGTTGAGATTGCTAAGTGTATATGCTGTACGTTAATAATATGCCAGTCCAAAGGATATGCAGACTTAATATACAGGAATGAATTTCGTCTCCTGTCAGAGGCATAACTAGTGGCGGGGTTATGAAGAATAGTTCCAGGACACCAGCCAGGTCTGGTCACCTGATAATGTGACGCAATGTGTGGCAAAGGCATCTTAATGAGAACCTGCTGGGCATGTCACCAGCTTGGACAAATGGGATGTTGGAAGCGGTGTTAGTCATTCTTTGTGGCGGCCCTGAGAAACAAGCAAGTGTGTGAGTGACAGAGACAATATGAGCAGCCGGAGCCTTGTTCAAAGTTGCATCCTGTCACACCTGTTTGATCAGGTTGCGTCAACGTATTTGCGCTGATATTAAGGGAGCTCGACGTATACACTTGCGCAAGATCCAGCTGAATGGTATTTGATGCCGATTAAAACGTGTGGCACTGCTGGGAAGCAGAATGAGGCTAGTATTTAGGCCAGACATACTATAGGGTCTTGTTTACTTTACATTAATCCAAGCTAAAAAGGATCCAAAATACACAAGTTGCCGGCAATTTAAAAAAATAAAATAAAATGCACAAACACAGCAACTGGCGGAGGCGACAGTGGGGGGAGTGTAAGTGGAGCTTGTTGCTTTAACAGGGTGAGATGCGAATGTGAGAAGTGTCAGGCTTAGGATGAGCGATGTGACAGGAGGCGAGAGGAGAAGGAAGAAGGAGGGGCATGGTTCCAATGGGGGGAGGGAAGCTCCCAATCAACCCACTCAGAATAGATAACGATCAACAGGAAATAAATCTGCAGCTATGACGTCGCCTGGAGTCGGTGCAGTCGTTTACGATGAATAGATGCTCTAATTCGGGGTTCAAACAGTGGGCCCTGAGTGCCAATGGTCAATCAGGCAGGTCAGCTATGCGCGCTTTCTGGACTGGATAATTACATTTTTCAAAACCATTCACCCCTATTCGAAGATAATAAAAACTCAAACAATCACCGATCATGTAGTTATTTTAAACGGCCTCCATCAAAAACCTCATTGTGTAAACTGGAAGAGGGTTTTGTAAAGAAAAGTCACAGTTACTCACCATTTCACAGTACTCAAAAACAAGTAGAAAGGGAATCGCTTCGACACACTGTCCAAGGCACCGGAGGACATTTGGGTGCTGCAATACTCTGAGGATAAAATAATGAGACAGAAGGCAAACATTTCAGGTTTTTACTCATACTGCAGTGTGTGTCTGTGTCATCTGTCCTTTTTTCTACACCACTTCATATATGAGTTTAATTCGCTCAAAGACACAACTTGTGATTCAAAAACATTCATAATCCAAATCATCTTGTCCCATTGAAATGAATGGAATTGGCATTAATCCATTCCAGCCACCCAAAAATAAAACCCTAAAAACGTTTTTTTTTTTTTAATCAGAAAACTATCACTCGATATTGTTGCACTTCATAAAAACATACTGTAAGGACATAATTAAATAGAATGTAAATAATAAGACCACATTTTTTATGCTACTGCTTCCAGTAAGATCACCTTGGCCACCTGGACACTGTAGAATACAGACGGACAGAATCAGTAAGTATGCACTCGTAGAAATCTTTTTTTTTTTTTTTTTGCAAAGGCTAAAGAATATATGCCTGCAGGTGCCGTTACAATGGATAAGCGGTTCAGATGACGGATGTGTGGATGTTAAACTGCTGCTTGCTATGAGAGAATTGAGTTGGCTTAATTGCCGCATACAGCGCTTGCGTGTCAAAAAAACTCCAAAGTTGGATCACCTGTATCTCAAGGCACCACAGTATATTATTTTGCTCGACGATAAAAGAGGTGATTCAAAACAACAAAAGACATTCACCGATAAGGGTCCCCCTGCTGCAAGAAGTCATTCTGCTCCTTGGCGTTTGCGTTTGCTTTTAACTCCTTCACTATCACTCTGGCGCCACCGGGATCCGTGTAGATTTCACTCAGGATCACCTGTCAGAGGACATTGAGTCAGTTGAGAAAACAAAAAAAGTAGACTTTTGACTACAACAGATTGGTAGGGTGACAAAAGCAAAAATCTGACCTGGCCAAACCATCCGTTGCCGACCTCCTGAATGTAACTCAAATTATGACGGGCAACCTGGAAGCCTGCGGATCCCTCTGGGAACGCCACAGACAAAAACAAAAACATATCATGTCATCAAACACATGTCAACAAATAAAGGGACAAAGAGGATGTCATTTTTTTTCCAACCTGCGATGGGTGCTGGAGGTTGAAGATGCAGAGGTCCGGGCAAGGCCACGGGGGAGACGGCGAGGGTATACACCTCAGCCGGCAACTGCATAGACGGCGTGTCCTCAGCTGGCGGCGTGAAGTCGAGCTCATCGTCAAAGTGGTCTTCGAATTCCTGCGTCAACAAACATCCACAGTAAACCATCCGGGAATTCCGCCCATAAAGAATGTTAATTTCCAAAAGACATCAAACTGTCAGGTGGCAGCGATGCTCGTCTGTCATTTAATTCCCGGCTGCCCAAGAGGCCATTTTTGGCCAATCACGCCTCAAGACACGCGGCGAGGCGCACACGGCGTTTCCTGAGAGTGTCACCTTGAAGTTGATCTCCCTCTCCTTGCAGCAGCTCACACAGTTCACCAGCAGCACCACCACGGCCACCAGCACCGTCAGCGACAAGTAGAGAGACACGTAAAACGGGTCCCCCGTGCCGCTGTCTGCGACGGACGAAAAGCAGACACAAACGAGGACTTGACAACTTGACAATTTGACATCCCGCAACGTTTATGGCATCGTCTAACGGCACTTGCATTTCATGTTTCTAAAAAAAACAAAAATCATTTTGGTTAGTGAAGGTTTGTTTTTTTTTAAATATCATACCACTTCAAGAAAATAATTACAATTCAAAATAAGGCGATCAGAAAACGGTGTTACGAAACAATTCCTCAAGTCAATAAATTTGAGACTTCACTTTTTCTGTTTTGTGGAAATGAAAACATCTCTTTCAATGTATGAACATTTGAACTGACCGCTGCTCACTTTTGTTTTGTTTGGGTGTGCGGGGTTCCGATCACGCGCTCCCTCTCTCCCATGCGGTGAGTCAAACGTCCAAAGACGTTAGCATCAATCTATCATCGCGGCAGCTTGGATTTATTGCGTTTACATCACCGCGTCTCAGAATGTTCGGAGAGGCGCTTGCGGTGCAACGTGAGAGGCGCTGAGGATCTTGTACTCGCTGCGGTGTCACGTCAGGACATGAGGAGCACCCGCTTGGTATTTTCGACAGCGGTCCCAATACTTTTGTCTGTGTGGTGCAAGTGTATTATTAGACCCGCGGTGTGGTGACATTTTCTTCCCCCAAAAAACATTTGAAGGATGTCTGGAGCATCCTGCGTACTTCGATGGGATTTAAAAAAAACATCCCTTGGTGGCACTACTGGCCATATTCCCGACCAAATACAACACAAAATTGTAATTTACTTCTTGTTACAAATTACAAACAGACAGATATGATTTTTTTGGGGGGTGGGGAGGGGGTTCAATTAAAATCTTACGAAATTGGCATGCCGCCTTTTATGCTAAGCAGCTTTTGTTTCCCTTGAATGCGATCACTACGACGCAAAAGCAGCCTCGCAGTCACATTGCACGGGGAACTTGTCGCCCGAAAGAAATCGACAAGCGTGAACCTTTCCGCACATCTATTTGAGGAAATCATTGCCGTTTTACTTGGTCATCATTGGTCGCTGGTATTGCTGCTCCAGTGACCTTCAACGCCCCCTCGCCTCTCAAGCTTTTGGGAATCACAAAAGCCCCAAGGAAAACTCGGGAGCGACCGTTTTTATGAGGCATAAAATGTCTACTTAGGAGTTAAAAGATTTACACCCAGTACAAAAATATCGAGGGCTGCTGAGTTTCTAAATATTCCCTGGCAGCACAGACGTGACTGGAAAGAACAGGAAACCTGACAGACTGCAAAAAATATGAAGAAGGCGCTAAGACACTCGTCATATGAGAAGTCACAAAGATATGACGCTGGCCAACACTTTTAATGTCTGGGGCTGCGTGACCTTCGATCCAAACTGTCGAGCTTGTTTCAACGCAAGGAGCAAAGTGGTACAATGTGGGAGTCCAACCACACGTTTTCTTGTGAGACCGTACAAAGCAAGCATGGCAATTTAGTACAGTCAAACCTCGGTTTTTGTTGTTTTGTAGACTTGAAACGGATTAAAATTTATTACATTGATTATAATGGGAAACATGGTTTCGGTTTTCGAACAAATCGGTTTTCGAACAGCCTTCTGGAACGGATTATAGTCAAAAACCGAGGTATGACTGTAAATATTACACACGCACGCGCGCGCGCGCACACACACACACACACACACACACACACACACACACACACACACACACAC